TTAGTAAAAGTCAGACAGGTCACGGGCAATAACCAAAAATTCAAGGAAGCCTGTGACCTGTCTGTGACTTTTATTAAAAATGGTGATGGGGGGGAGGGGGAGACAAGCTCACAGCAGTTGGGAGCTGCGGGTCCCCACTGCCCGTGGAGGCTCGGAGCTCCAGGACTGCAGGGAGTTGCTTGGCGCTCCAAGAGCTACCTGCTGCCCATGGTGGCTTGGTGCTCCAGGGGCCGCCTGCTGTGGCTCAGCACTCCAGTGGCTTGGCGGTCCGGGCAGGCACCTGGGCGCTGCAGGGCCCCCCACTGCCCGTGGGGACTGGGCGCTGTGGGAGATGCCCCATCCCCATGCCACAGCTGGGAGTTGCAGGACCCCTGCACCTGAGATCACTGGTGCCCCCCACTAGCTGACAGCTCCAACCCTGCAGCCCCTAGGGCTGAAGCAGAAAATGTCACAGAGATCTCTGGTAGTCACAGATTCTGTGACCTCTGTGACATAATCATAGTCTTAGTTGTAAAGTTAGTTGTCCTTTCAGATAATTTGTTAGTTGTTGCCATTTTGGACTTTTCTTCCCTTCACGGGACTCTTCCCCAGTGCAGGGTCTATGCCCCAGCAAGCTGGGTTTAAGTACTGTGCTTCGCGCCCTTGCGCCTTCTCTGTGAGCGACGAGCACCAACCTTGCCACTGCTCCATTTGCAGCTTGCTCCCACCTCGGCCTCTGTAAGCTCCTCATGGAAGAGGTGATGCAGCCACGTGCACCTTTGGATCCAGCACTGGGGGGATCTGTCGGAGTGCCGAGCACTTCTCCCAGTACTTCCTGCCTGGCGCTAGCGGCACTGCTGCCTCTGCCCAAATCCCACCGTGTGCGCAAGAAGCACAGTCATGGGCAAAGGGCGGCTCACCAATGGGGACCACCCCTAAACGCAACATTGCCTCCCTGAGTCGTGCCAAGTCGTGCATCGACTCAGAGGCACCCACTCCAAAGAAGCCTCGTTGAGAGCATAAATCCAAACATCGCACTCTGCTGGAAGTTTTATACGTAAGTGTTAACCCTATGTTAATTTTGTGGATGACAGTGACATGTTCAAATTGTAAGAATTGCATGAGGAAGAAAACCGAAGTTTTAAGCCAGAATAGGAGGAAGATTTTGCATTCACTGTTAAAGGTGGCAAGCCCCTGTGCCTTATCCGCAATGCATTGCTCACTACAAAGTGAGCAACTTGAAACTTCACTACTAAACGAATCACAATAACTTTTCATCTAAATATACACCTGAAAAAGAATTAAGGAAAAACAAGTTAACCCCATTAAAATTACACCTCAACAGACACTACTTTCGGCATTCAGTAAGGAAGCTGACATAATGACTGAAGCTAGTTTTGTTATGTCATGGAATATCGCTCGTGCCAACTGTCCATATTGTGATGGATAATTTAAGAAGAATATTGCAGAAGTGGTTGCAATTTTAGATCCAAATAACACAAGACTTCAATGACTAATAAAGGAAATTCCAATTTTGTGCCACATTATGGAGCGAGAGATCTCCCAGATCAGTGCTGATGTTGCAAGCAAGATGCAAAATGATCTAAAGAATTCTCTAGCATTCAGTCTAGCTGTGGACAAATCCACAGATATACAAGATAAACCACATCTAGCTGTATTTGTTTGCTGTATTTCCGCGGATATAATTGTGAGAGAAGAAATGTTGGACTTAGTGGCGCTAAAAGAAACAACCTGTGGGATTGGCATAAAGAACGCACTTGACGCAGCATTGACAAATGCTGCTGTATCGCTGGATAAACTAGTGAGTGTTTCAATGGATTGAGCTCCTGAAACTATGTGGGGGGGAAGGGCGGGAAAGTAGGCCTTATTGGACTCTTGAAAAGCGATCCCAAATTTCTGGAGTTTCTCCCTGTTCATTGCATGAACATCTCACAAGCAGGTACTTGAAGTACGAAAATGTTACGAAAATGGGCCTAGAAATTGTCAATTTCATCTGCTCGACTAGGAAGACTCATCAAGAGTTCAAAGATTTAATTGAAGAGCCAGCTTTTCAAGACAAACCTAACGATGTATCTTTCTACTGCATTGTGAGGTGGTTATCAACCAGCAATGTCTTAAATAGGTTTGTGGAACTGTTGGAGCCTATCAGTGCTTTCTTTGAAGAAAAGTCCTGTCTGCAACTGAAAGATGGGCAATGGATGCAGGATCTGATGTTTTTCATTGATATTATGCAGCATCTACAAACTCTCGACTTGGCCCTCCAAAGGAAGGATAAGATTATTTCTGACCTTATTCAGACAGTCTTCAGCTTCCAAAATAAGTTGAAGCTTCTGCAAAGAGACATGATGTCAAGAGACTTCAACCACTTTCCCCATCTCAAGAGTAGGGTAAACACATTCCCTGAAATTGAAGTAGAAGATCACAAACTTGAGGAATACAGAGGTAAATTACAAGGACTGCTTGATGACTTTCAGGCCAGGTTTAAAGATGTGCAGAAGCTGAGATCCTGCTTTGCCTTTTTTGTAAACTCATTCATGTTTGATGTGATCACCAATGGCTGTCTGATTCTCAAAACCATGGACATAGAAACATCTACTCTAGAAATAGAACTGTTGGAACTCTAGGAGGACCAGGCTCTAAAGACGATGCATACATCAGTCTACAATTGAGTTCTGGAAGCAAGTGCCAGGAATGGAGATATCCCATCTCCTAGAACCGGAAGGGACTTTGAAAGGTCTTCGAGTCCAGCCCTGTGCCTTCACTAGCAGGACCAAGTACTGATTTTGCCCCAGATCCCCAAGTGGCCCCCTCAAGGATTGAACTCACAACCCTGGGTTTAGCAGGCCAATGCTCAAACCACTGAGCTATCCCTCCCCCCCAATGAAGTAGCCTCAACTCAAAAAGATTAGTGTGCACCTCATTTCAATTTTCGGCACTACATACTGCTGTGAATCGCTGTACTCTATGATGAAGTTCATAAAATCGAAACGTGCAGTTCTTACAACGTAGCATATGACCGACCTCCTCCGTACCGCCTTGACAGCATATCAGCTGGATTTCCAAAGACTTGCGTCCAGGATGGAAACCCACAAGGCTTCTAGCTCTCGCAGTAATTAGCCATGATACAGTAAGTAGGATGCTAATATTGGTAAAAATGCATGTGTAAAGGTTGTGCATGTCTTATGGCTCTCAAACTTCTGAAGATTATCGTATGTGGCTCAGAGGGTCAGTAAGTTTAGCCATCCCAATCTAAGCAATAGGAGTTATTCATCCCCAAACACCTTCCTTTGACTAACTGGCAACTTCCATTAATGTTCTCAGGAATCTTATAAATTAAGGGTGGAACTCTGCTGTTTAGCTGAAATGAAATCAGTGGGAGTTACATGCCCAAATTTCTTTGTAGATCCCACCTTAAGTCTACAGACACTGCGCTGGAATTTACCTTATGCTATGACTGATCCTTTAAGATGCTTCAACTCCCATATTCCCAATATATTTTTCTGTAGCTAAGGGTGCTCAGGTTGTTTCTAATTCTAAGCCTGTTCTCCAATGTGTTTGCAACCCCTTCCAGCCTGGTGTTATCTGGAAATTTTATAAATACTCTCCACTGCATTGTCCAAGTCATTAATGAAAATATTGAATAGTAACAGACCCAGGACTGACCCCCGACTGATCACACTAGATTCACCCTCCCAGTGTGACAGTGAACAATTAACACCATTAATTTGGGCTTGAATAGGGTCTGGGAATGGCTAGCTCACTACAAAAGCAATTTTCCCTCTCTTGGTATTGACACTTCCTCATCAGTTATTGAGAGTGGACCACATCTATCCTGACTGAATTGGCCTTGTTAACACTGGTTCTTGACTTGTAAGGTAACTCCCTTCTATTCACATGTCAGTATATTTATGCCTGCATCTGTAATTTTCACTCCATGCATTTGAAGAAGTGGGTTTTTTTTAGCCACGAAAGCTTATGCCCAAATAAATCTGTTTAGTCTTTAAGGTGCCACTGGACTCCTTGTTGGTTCAGTAAACCATTGTAGTCAAAAGCATAATTATCAATCTTTCAACCAGTTGTTGTGCACCCAGTTTGTAGTAGTTTAATCTAGACCACATTTCTCATTTGCTTATGAGAATGTCATGTGGGACTATCAAAAGCCTTACTAAAATCAAGATATGTCACTGCTACTGCTTCCCCTCCCCCACCCCTCCATCCACTAGGCCAGTGACCCTGTCAAAGAAGGAAATTAGATTGGTTTGGGATGACTGGTTCTTGACAAGTCCATGTTGGCTATTCCTTATAAGCCTATTAGCCTTTAGGGGCTTACAAATTGATTGATAATCTGTTCCAGTATCTTTCCAGGTATTGAAGTTAGGCTGACTGGTCTATAATTTCCTGGGTTGTCTTTGTTCTTTTTAAAGATATTTACTTTGTTTGCCCTTCTCCAGTCCTCTGGGATTTCACCCATCCTCCATGTGTTCTTGAAGATTAATTGTTCTGAGATTGCTTCAGCTAGTTCCTTAAGTACCATGGGATGAATTTCATCAGGGACTGCCAACTTGAATACATCTAACATATTCAATTTCCTGACAAGCTACAAGGAGAGTAGGTAAGCTTGCTTTTGTAGCTTGACAAAGGTTTGAAACATTAATACTACTTAGCAATGGTATTGTAATGCATGGGGCATTAACCCATTTAAAAAAGTTAGAGAGCCATTTTTGTACTAAGTATTTACTAATTGCCTTGGATTATTGAGTAAAACTCAAGACTCAGTTCACACATGTCCAGATGTGAAGACATTTAGCTTGGTGACTTTTGAAGCTCCTGCGTGAACAATTAAAATGGTGCTGTTGAAATGAATTTTGTATTGTCATTTTTTCCCAGTTCAGTAACACACAGCAGTGATGTGAATTTGTTGAATCTAAATTTGCAATGTCTATCAATGACAAAAGCTTCATTTTAAACTCAGGAACCATCTTCTTTGTTACAAAAACAACAGTTGTAGATTTTTTTTTATTGAAATAGAACAACTTTTTCCAATAATGGGACCATTTACATTAAAATCTGACCACCAAAATATGAAAATAAAATAGAAATTAACTAATGTATCTCTTCATCATAGGTCTTGTTACACAATTTTATTGTTGATAAAAACACATAGCATGACACTTGTAGCACTAAAAATTCTATTTATAAATAAATCTGATCTGTACCATTAACAGAAGGAGACCGTGAATGCATACATCATCTGATCATTTTGACTGGATTATAATTTTATAGGAATTAAAATGACATTAGTATAAGAAACAATTGCACTTTAAAACATTTGAAAAATTAAAAAAGTACAGAAAACAAAAACCTCACAATTATTAATTTTGTACATTGAACATTGAGGTTAATCATATATAACCTGTTCAGAAGAAATGGTATTTTGTGTTTATAAATTACAAAAAAATTGAGACCTTCTACATAGTGGTTTATTCAGTTTTTAAAACATTTTTGCTGCTTTGAATAAATTCAGTAGTAACAATTTTTTACTTTACAGAATTCTGACAATTTGTTCAGAAGACACAACAAAGCTAAAGCAAAGTAACAATTCACAGGTGTTTAGTGCAAATTTCTGTATTGATGTTACATGAAATGTCAGTGTTGAACATGTAGACTTTAGAAGTATTTCCAAGCAAGTACTGTACATACTGAGTGCAGTTTTTAGTATACTAGATACCCTACACTTGTAAAGACTCTGCTTTGAAACTTTAGATTACAACCATCCTTAATCAATTCAAACTGTTTGTGTGCTATAAATGTGTCTAGTGTTGTTTTGGTAGGTCAGTTCATTTTGTCATGCACAATAGCACCTACTTTTTGCTCTATAAATCATTAAACATGCTTTTCATTTCTTTGATCCTGACTATTTTTTTTCTCTACCTTTGTGGTTGGCCTGTTCTCCTGCTCCCACCAACCTCCTGCATCTCCTTCCTGACCCCCTCCCACCACCACCACCACCGCCTGCATCCAAAATCCTGGTGATGGATTTCAAGCAGTTTAGAGTTATAATTACAAGAACAACTCTTTTGCACACTTCAAAACCCAGATATGGTATAAATGTACATTAAGTGCTACTTTATGGACTAATTAAACACACAAATATTATGGGCCAAATCCCCCCTTCAGCTAATCTCACAGAGCTCCCATTGAAGTCCATAGGAGTTGTGTGCAGGTACCAGAGAGCTCACTTGTCCCTCTGTGTATAAAAATTTTAAATACTTAATGTGTTAGGAACAAGGGTCAAGATTTTAAACGTTCTAGTTTAAATATGAAAGAGAGTGGAACACTGATTGTGCAAGAGCCACAAGAACAAACCTATTTTGAGCTGCACCTCTATTGAAGCTCATGTGTCTTTTGTGTTTGTGCTATTTTAACTGTGCTGCTTAACCTTTGTTTCCTACATAGGATGCAGTCTATTCAATAACAACTTTTGCTGACTAGCTTTTTTTCAGTTCTTAGAACAAGGAGGACAGTACAGGGTTCATTGTTTTCTGCTTTATTTACACTGTGTTCCCCTCCTTGTGTGATGTACAGCAATTTGGCTAAAGAAAAGTAATAATATGAAGTTATCAGATACATTATGCTGTAGTAATGCAATTTCTCCTCGCTTCTTATTGAAATGCCTCCTCTTAAAATGCTGTAGACTTAGCTTATGACTCACAAGAAAACACATGTTTAAACAGGGGAGGATTTGCAGCAATATGCAAAGTTCATTGAAAACACAGGAATTTTTTTTAGGAAGATGAAGCTTGCTTTTAGTTGATGTACTTACTATGTGTAAAAAGCCATTTTTTAAAAAAAAGCATAACTTCCTGGGTAGAAAACTTAAGGATGCTAATATTTTTTATTACATTTTAAAGACTACTTTAAAAAAAAAGTGGAAATGTTTTTTAATCTTTAACTGCATGGAGAACACTTTTTTTTTTTAATAAAGTTCAGCTGCAACAACTGCTTCCTCCCACCCCCCAGGAAGTAAATTTTTTACTCAATTTTACAGCTGGGTTGTCCAGACAAATCGTTTACCTTCCTTATACTAAAGTCACTCAGGGAACAACCTTAGCAAGAATTAGAAGTCAGAACCCATTTTATTCTCTGTTCAGGAAACTGAATTTTAAATAAGTTTTTAAGTTACCACCTCGTCATGAGGATCCCAGGGTCTTGGTTTTCTGATTTTAAGCTTTTAGGCCCCAAACCTGCAAATATTTACACATGAATAACTTTAAACGTGTCAGCAGTCCCTTTGAACTCAAGGAGACTCCTTAGGTATGTAAAGCTACTCATGGACACAGATATTTGTAGGAATAGGATCCTAGGCATCCATGTGCTCAGAGCACACTTGCAATCTAATAATTGACATTGCCTCTGAGTGAACAGGAGAAACCCTTTGGATCCCTGCTCCATGACTTTTTGTTTGGTTGCCCTATGAATATGTTAACTAGAATGATGGGCAGATCATTCCCTCTTTTTGAGGAGGGAGGTACAGCGATTGTGTTGAGTCCCCCAGCATGAAAGACAATAATGCCTGGATGCTACCACTTCATTTGCAGGTGGGAAGAAGTCTCCCAAAATGCCTTGGAGAGGTTTTCAAATTGCAAATAAACTGCATCAAACCTTGAGTTCAAAAGCGACCACTGGGGCTAAGACGAGGGCACATTCATTTTTTGTATTAGAGTGGCTTGTATTCGTTGTCTGCATGGAGAATAGAGATCCAAAAACCTCAGACTCAAATGCTAACAAAATTTTAAAGAGCTTTTGATCTGAAGTTTTGGCCTCTCTTTTTTTTATACTGGGCAAAACTAAAATCTCTCATTTGAGCAGCCCTGAATTTTGAGAAATTGGATCTGAACTGTATGCCTGGGCCCACTCTCTACCTAGTTTTTCAAAGCAAAAGGATCTATGATGTGAGCACACACTATAGTGAGCTAGAGCGAAATGGTGATCAGTTAGGTTTTTAATCCTTCAGGAAATGCATTTAAATTTTGTTCAGTTTATTTTGTCATGTGTAAAAAGCTGAATCAATAAAAAGGAGAAAACAACTAAGAAACAAATGTAAAGAGCAAAAAGGTTACAGTTTACTTAATAATCTGCGGACAGTCACTCCAGGCTTTTGCTTTCCTCTTGGCTAGGGCCAGCCAGGCTGGTTCTGTTGACACAGGGTTAGCATCAGGAGTAGAGAATCTCTTCGTAACTTCTTTTGCTAATGGAGTTGATGGAACAGAATCTGAAATCTCCACTGTTTATGGATTTGGGAGAGGGAAAAAAAATAAAACAGATGAAACATGCTACATTGTAGAATAAGGGAGAACTATGAACTTTGCTGTGAATCTGTTCACAAAATGTATAGGTAATATCTTTAAAACTATTGTTCAGTCTTCCTTTTTTAACCCTCTGTATATGTTGAAAACCAAATTAATTTGGCTCAGATTTATAGAGGAAAAAAATTAGTCATTTAAAATTGGACTAACCCACACACTTGAATGTGGTTCTACGCCAAAAAGTAACTCAGCGAACATGGAATGTTAGGACACTATTTTTACAGTCTCAATGGTTTTCAGAGCAAATTTTCTCAGTTTACAAGTACAAATGCTGTTTTTAATCTTGTTGTCAATCCTGGAACCTCCCACCCAAAACCTGACAATCAAGCTAAATTCTTTCCTCCTTATGTATAAGCAGTAACCAAGTTTCTACAGGCACAGGTCTGCTCTCTTATACATATGCCACCCCACTGTCTCCAAATTATGCCCTCAGTGACACCTGGGCAAATCAAGGTCAGTACATTTACACAGAATAATGTAGCTCTGCAGTTTCTACTTAGTTATCAATTCTGATGTTTCTGTTTAAGTAGGAATAGAATCCAGCTTCCCTTCCCATAGCTGCTTGTTTGCAAGCTTCACAAGTACCAAAACCATTTATCACTAAAATAAGCAGATATCTCTGAATATATACAAGTGGTGTATCTGTTGAATAAGAAATTGCCTTTTACAGTCACTTTTCAGAGCAGAACCGCATGAAGTATAATGCAGGGATCAGCTGACAGCATTATTAAATACTATAGTGATGGATGCTATGGAAAAACCCTTAAATAGACAGGCCTTTTGCAAGTCTATTATTCTCTGAAAGAGGGACAATCTCTGATTTACCCCCCCAATTATTTTATGACTAGAAATTTTAGAATAAATTTCCTTGATCAAGGGATTAACCCAAAGCCTGTTAAATTCAGTGGGCTTTGGCTAAGGCTTTAATAGCTTGGGAGTATGTGTAATTCCATGGGCAAGTTAATGATAGAAAGGTAAGGAGTTGTCATTTGAGTCAAAAAAAAAAAATCTACAGAATCATAATTTCAATTACACCACCCTCTGTGGTGTGGCAGAGGGGACTTGCTGCCTGCTCCAGTTCCCCGTACTCTGGATGGTGGAAATGTTTATAATCCAGCGTCATTGAAATGGGAGACAGGGCTTTTGAATGATACCCATGAATGCAATGGTATCAGACATGACAAACCTAGAACAATTATGTAAATATATGTTTGAGAAAATATTTAAAAATCAACTTTTTTTTAAAATTATACTTTAACAGAGACATGTAAAACATGCAGCCTTCACAAAATTAAATTGTGGCCCTCAATTGACAGTGTTCTATTATCAGTTAATGCTAAGAAAATTACCTGATTAATTTTTTTAATGTTACAGATTACTAATATTGGAAGGTTTCAGAGTAGCAGCCATGTAAAAGTAGAAGGAATGCTTCAAGTTGATTTGTCATCATTGGCAATAATCAATACCACTTTTGTTCATTAGGCCAAAAGACTTGTAATGAGGCACTGGTTAAGATATCAGCATCCAGCCAGAAAACACTGGAATCCATCTGAAAACAGTATGGACATACTTAAATTACTTTGATTAATTATGTAATGCATGTTATGTATTACAAAAGACTTTGATCATTTTTAGGTATCAATGGAGAGGTGAAGAGTACCAATTAGTAGCTGAATCTGGGGAGAATACCACTGAAGAGGACCTGGTTAAAACACCACACTCAGTGGCACTTTACCTGCTATAAGAAGTGCACTCAGTAAACTGAATTTGGCAAGGCTGAAATGGAGGTACATCGACCATCAGAAAAAAGCTGAAGCTGCTGGGACAAGTGCTGGGTGTGGGCAAGAATTGCCTTATATTGAGAAGAACACCACCTTCTTCTGCCCTAAACTGAAAGCACAAAGGCATCCATGAAGCACAGTTTCAACATGAGAGAGACTGAATGAAGCAGTCACTCTTTGTGAGAATGTTGCATGGAAAGTTGTTGGTGCATTGACCCAAAAGATACCCATGCATACACCACTGTGTATCCCACAGAGTGCTGCACCAAGACTGTACCTAGTGTTGTCTCAAGAAAAAAGCAATTTATGAACTCCAACTGAATCACACACTTTGCAGTAGTAAAATCAGTATTTGTTTGTATTGCCTCAGAGGCTCTAATGGATGGGAAAGTGGTAGAGATGGTCAATGCAGAAGCTAAATACAGAGAAATATGTGCTTTGAAAGTGAAGAGAAACAAATGCTTAGCAGAAAGACTTATAAAGCAGTTATTGAACTGTGGAATATGGACATAGTTTTTAAGCAGTCCAATCTGCAGAAATGAATCACTACGTATGTCCTTAAAAGCAACAAAAGGTGTGGTGTGAGAAGTGAAAGCACTGATGTCAACAATAGTATGAAGATTCTAGGTGCAGCTACTATTTTTTTTTTTTAAACAGAAAAGCATTTTGTCCTGCAGTACATAGGAGTTTCAAGGATCCATAGCTGATGCCAAACCTGAAAAAATATCACATGACCTGTACTTCATTTTTAAGTAGTGCATTGATGGTTGCAGTGACTTCAGCACCAGCAAGCATGAAGGTAAGCAAGTGGAGCACAAAGCTGCCATTTTATCGCAAAGCCTCATGGATGAGAGTTTGAGTGAAAGGCAGGTTTCCAATATACACACGACAACTATGTGGTATATGCATAATCTACCACTACAAGTGGCTGTTGCTTTAGCAATTCATTCCAAAACCCATTCCTTGAGCAGCGTAGGCGCTACATTGGCTCCTCCACTGATTACAACAACCTACTCCAAGTTCTCCGTGGTACCACCATTGATGTGGAAGAATTGCTTGAAGAATTTCATTGTTGCATGGCATAACGAAGCTGCTACCTCTCACCATTGAATGCCGTTTCTTCATAGTTCCTGGGAGGAGGCTGACACTAAAATTATCTTGAATGGCATCAGTACCCCAGCGATACTACTAAATGCTGGATTTTTGCACAAGACACAGATGTTTTAGTGCTCTCTGTGAAATGCTCCCCAAGATTTCTGCAAGATTGTTTGTGGCTGCTGCTGGGGAACAGAATTGTTGTACATCCCTCAGAAATGTGTTCCTATCCCTTGGACCATTAAAAACTGCACACTGCCAAGTTTCCATGCCCTTTCAGGATGTGACAATACTGGAAGGTTGTCAGAAAAGACCAAATTAACCTACTCAAAGGCATTTGATTCATCCTCCAAAGACTCTCCTTGCTCGAAACGGCTGAGACAGTCACTGATGAGGTCATAGATGCACTGGAGAGGTTCATATGTTGAGTTTACCATTTGAAGGCCAACATTACAGCACATGAACAGCTCTGTAGCTGGATGTTTTCCAAGAAGCAGATGGTGAAAAACTGCCATTGACAAGGGTCAAGAGGGAAAATTCCATGCAGTAGAATGATTCTAGGACATCCAGAAACTACCTTTTCCCCATGGGGCATGAATGGGTCTTGGATTGATCATGCCAGTTATGTGTGAAATACCATGTGGTCCACAACCAGTCTTTCCGCTAATTAAATGCTGTGTGTCAAAAAACAGATGCTCAACACCCTGCAAATGTTTGGCCAGATGATGGGGATCAGTGTGATGTGTCTAGCAGTGAAGCCCTAGACTGAGATGACACTGATTAACAAATCGTTTGAGTCTTGCATGTCAAGGCTAACTTCATTAGGATCAGTGTCTCTTTATGTAAGCAATGCATAGCTGTTAAAGTATAATTTAAAAAACATTGATTTTTAAACATTTTCTTGAATATAATATTTAGTTAATTGTTCTAGGTTTGTCATGTTTGGTACCCTTGTGTTTGCAGGAGAAAGGACTTTTGAAAGATACCCAAACTCAACCCATTTCCAATAACATTGTATTAAAATTTCCACCAACCCGAGGAGCTTGGAAGCAGCAAGTCATCTCTCTCCCTCCGTCCTGCTGCAAAGTATGACACCATTGGAATTATGATTCTGTAGATTTTTACAAACCAGCTGACACCTCCCTTATCTTTCTGTTGCTAACTTGCCCACAAAATGAGATTTTACTACATTATGCTCCTACACAAAAAATTAACTATATAATCCCTGTCTCTATTTTCATGGCTCAGGTATAGTGCAAGCAACCCTATTCTGTCCCTGTTCAACCCTGACCTAAAGGAACCACCTCTAGATTGGCACCACTGGAATAAGTATTAGATGTGGAGGCACTTTGTGTGGGCAGCTGTCCACTATGAACTGGACTGAGTCTGCCCAACTTGTGTAACAGATTTTTAAAAAAATCTATAACTGGGGGGTGGGAAAAAAATCAAAACTTTAAAATCCTGTGGGAGATCATCTGCTTTTTAGAGAAACACTGATTAAAAACTATCTGACCCATTTTTTTGTCAGTAGGAATTCTATAAGCCTGCGCAGCAGCTGTTAGCAGAGAATTTGGAAAGATGGTTACTTCAAAGGCTCTGCAGAGAGTTTGAAATATCGCTTTCCAAACAGCCAGTTTTAGCTACTTTCAGTGCAAGTCTGAAGTATCTTGGTTTTCAAATATTTTTCAGTTCTTAAAGATCTCTTTTAACATACATATTGTCGTAAGGGAGGGTAGATTTGCCAAATTCCAGTGTAGGCCTTTATATTAAATGACTGCACCGTCATAACCTGCATCAGCCAAACATGTCTATTTGTAATAAGAAGATATGATGCCTGTTATATTTGTTGTTCTAATATCACTATTTGACCTCAGAGGCAAATAGTGACCAAGGTGAAATCAATTCAATAGATGCTTGAGGCACAATGAATTTTGATCAAAAGAAGAGGTGTCAGCACAGGCATTGTTACATATTTCTGAAGACATTCACACCCTATTTGAAAATCTCTACATTATGAATTGTAAAAGTAATTTTTCCTGTGAAACTCAGATTTTAAGGGTGGGGGGCCTAAGTTAGAGGCCCAGAAAAAATATAACTAGCTTCCAATGATCTAATTAGGAAAAAGTCTAGCATATAGTTGGTTGATGGTTCAGAGGTAAATATTTCACTGAATTATTCTGCTATCAGTCAAGATATAGTCCTTGGTATGTAGTGGCTGACTGGTTAATAATGTTACAGTATTCATTATTATTGATCTATGAGGAATTAGACAACACTAACTGAATTACTTCATCACTTTTCAGCCAATTATAAACCATAATCCTTGGCATGTAGTAGTACAGAATATACAGACTCAGACTTACTTCTACTGAGAATACATAAATCAGCTACTACGTGACTTTTAGCAATATTCCCTCAGCACATTTTTCTCCAAACAGTAAGTTGTAGGAAAGCTATGTCAAAGGAGGTCTAACCAAAGATCATTAGCAATACTTCGTACTAATCCTTTTATTAAAAATTATATTATAGTACCTTAAATTTTGCACATTAGCTATTATTTGTAGTAGTAATAATGCTTTTCATGTATATGTGAATAAGGAATCAATTTAGCTTTAATTTATATCAGTGTATTATAGAATATTATGATCTACATAAATGGGTCCTGCCTGATCTCAATCAGTAAAATAAATCCTGGTCACTGCACCATTGCCCCGATGAGCACAGCACGTTTGTTTTGTATCAGCTAATTGGCAGGATTTAACAGAGAAACAGGCCAGGGTACAAGTATGTTTTGTGGAGAAATATTTGACGAGCCCTATTGATTATAGCCCTAACATACCCGGAGAAGCACATTATTAAAATACAGATGTCTAAGACATCCATCACACTATTCTGTGAATTTAGAAAGTGCTTTCCCTGTAATGTTTTGCCAGTTACTTCAACAGAAGTAGGGGTTAGGGGTTCAGGAGGGAGGTGCAGGGGGTAGATATGAAGGGGGTGCAGGGACTGGGGTGAAGGGGGCACAGTGCAGAGGTTAGGGACACAGGAGGGGGCGCAGGAGGAGGGCGGGGGTTGGGGTGAAGATGGCACAGCAGGGGGGGCAGAGGTTGAGAGTGAAGGGGATGTAAGGATTAGGTGTGTAGGAGGGGGAGCAGGCATTAGGGGCAAAGGGCACAGTGCAGGGGTTAGGGAGCCTATAGGGGACATGGGGAAATGGGGGGTGCACCACACCCACAGGGACTAGAGGCACCAAAATGCAAGTTTGCCTAGGGTGTCATTTTCCCTAAGGCTGGCCCTGTGCCTGGATCTGGCAAAGTTCATAACTAAACAAAACCGTGGATTATGGTCTCTTTGCTTTATGGACATACATACAGTATCAGTCTCAGCTAGGGTTGCCAACTTTATTTGCGGAAAACAAAACGCCCTGCCCCACCACTGCTCCCTCCCTCCATCACTTGCTCACCCTCGCTCATGCACTCATTTTCACCAGGCTGGGGCAGGGGGTTGGAAGGCGGGAGGGCTCTGGCTGAGGGTGCAGGCTCTGGGGTGGCACTGGGGCTTTGGGCTGCAGGAGGGGGCTTCAGGTCTTAGCTAAGGGAGCCTGCCTTAGCCCCGCTGCCGGTGGCTGACCAGAACCATCAGGATCCCTTTTCAATGGGGCATTCCCCTTGAAAACCCTAGTCTCAGCCCTGTAAATCAAATCTTGAAACAGAAGTGCTAATCTGGAAGCAACTGTCACAATTACATTGCGAATTCCATGCTTATAGTCTCTCAGGGGACTTCCAGATTAAATCTGGTCATTTTAAAAGTAGAAAATGGATCTTACTTAATTGCCAGCCCATCAGACTTAACCAGCAATCTGACAGACAAGCTGGGTTCCTTCTTGCTGAAATAATAAAGATGTTGCAGCTGGAACTTAGTTTATAATTCTGATGATGATATGTAAGCCAAAAAAAGAATCTAGTTCCCTCCTGAGAGCTCTGCAATGCTACCACTAAAAAAAAAGTGATCACTATTGAAAACCTAAATCTATCACTGTACCTGTCACAGAAGTAGGAAGAGTATTGGACTTTTTGAGCTGCTCTCTGCGTTCTAGTCTTGACACAGCCATCTCAATTTTCTTCTCGTCTTCCTGAGGTGTAGGTTTCTGCAATACACTTGTTTTGCTGATATTGCTGCCTTTATTATCTGACTGATTGCTTACAGCAGCCTAGGATGGAGAAGGAAAAGTGTTAGATCAGAAACAGTCCACTATGTATTGTCTACTACAGTGGTTCTCAAGCAGGTTTCAGGGGGCCACCAAACAGGACCAGCGTTAGACTCGCTGGGGCCCAGGTCAGAAAGGCGAAGCCACACCGCATGGGGCTGAAGCCTGGGTCTCTGAGCCCGGCCACTTGGGGCTGAAGCCAAAGCCTGAGCAACTTAGTTTCAAGGGGGCCCCTGTGGCAATTGCCCTGCTTGCTACCCCTAATGCCAGCCCCTGGCTTTTTATATGCAGAAAACCAGTTGTTGCACAGGTGGGCTGTGGATTTTTTTATAGCATGTTGGGGGGACCTTGGAAAGAAAAAGGTTGAGAACCCCCTGGTCTACTGTATACAAATAAGAGATCTCATAATTGATGATATCCCAAATGATGGCCTATAGTGACAGCAACCCCAAATTAACAATGATGCTTTTACATGCACATCTTTCATACATAATTGATGATAAAAACATGCAAAAGTCAGTGAAATTCATGAAGTGCTGGAGATCAGACTGAAATTCAGTAACAGTATACAACATTTTGTACTGAAAATTGATTTGCAATGTTCTTCATTTGTGCAAAGTTAAACCCCAGACTTACCACCTGATTTTACTGACTGTCACTTTAGCTTTTTATAAAATTTCTAAAACTGAACAGGAATTCAAATATAACTAAATCAAGAAATCCGTATTTAAAAAAAAGTTTTCTGGAGATTCTTTGTTTATTATTTTACATTATCTTTAGCGAGCTTCTCAGCCTGCTTTGCCTCTCTGGCTTGTCTCCTCTCCTCTCTGGTAGCTTGCTGCTCACGAAATCCCTTTTGCTTTTGTAGTGCTAATGTAATCCACAGCGGTTGTGCAGATTCAACTTTTTCCATCAATTTGGAGCCATCTAAAGAATGCCTGCTCTGGAGAACTGGCTTTTCTATAAGAAAAAGGAAAGGATAAGAGTGGTTGTGTGCAATACAAAAGGTGTTCATTTTTCCTTAGTCCCTTAGTCCTAAAAAATAAAATACAGCAATATAGACAACAAACATTGTTTAAACACATTGAACTCAGTGTCAGCCTTTCAAGCATTTATCACATTCTGAAGCAGATTTGTTACTTATCAAGAAGAGACATTACAATAGTCCAGCCTTATACTTAGCAGGCCAAAGTCATCCTTGGTGTAACTTCACTGATCTTAGTCCAGGCAGGAATTCAGCCTTGTACCCTAATTCTACCTATTTTGATTCTTAATCCCTTTAGACCAAATGTGCCCAGCTTTGCCTAAGTGTGGGCTCAAGTGACACCTTGCCATAAATGCTATTTGTATAAAATGGAGGCTAGCTGGGTAGTGCACAGAGACTGGTTGTCCCAGTATGCAATGCTTCATCTTAATCTGAACAATATCACAATGGAGGTCACATGCTGGAAACTAGTGTTTTCAGGCCCAACTTGTATTTCAAAGAAAATGGTAACTGTTGATCTCATGTAAGAACACACTGGACCACATTTGGGCATCATAATGTAGGCCCACTTTTGACAACGGGACACAGTTCTGCACGGTCTCATATTTCTAGAGACTGATTTAGAGACTGATTTAGAGCCCCTACCAAGGTAACAGCTTTCTGAAATTTTACAGGTTTGTGGAGGGTTGCTGGTGGTGGTGGTGGTGGTGGTTCTTTTTTTAATAATTGATGGCATTTAAGCATCAGCAGTTATTTTCTTATAACACATAATCATAATTGTTTAGACTGAAGAAGAATCACTAGATATATAAAGTTGATATAAATGGCTTTCCTTCAAGAGCTTAAAAGTGAGAGTGACTAAACAAAAACATCCAAAATCCTACACATAATGGTCAGGTTTTTCACTAGGTTTCCATTTAAAGCATCAGTTTGATTCCCCCCATAGAAAGCATCTGGGATGAGAGTTTAGAGCATGGTAGGTGTTCACTTTTTCAAAAACTTCATTTGTTTACAACCTCATATCTTAAAATGGCCCAGTCTAGAAATGTCAAAACTTGTTTTATTCTTTTGGACTTGTAGAGCACTGGTGCCTTTGGCTACTTCTGGAAAGTATGCCATTTAACTGAGGAGTTATTTGATATGTTGCTTTGGAACCTTTGAGCAAACTGTTGTGCTTCTCAGGTTGGACAGCACAGAGTTTAGGAAGTCTACCACCAGATACTACATGCCTTTGAAATTCTGGATTGGAGCTATATCTGCAGAGCTGAGTGAAGCACAAACTCTGGGGGAGTCCTGAATTTAGCTCACTCTCTGCTCTTCATTTTAGTAGCACATCTCCAACTAGTTTTCACACATCATCTGTACATCAAAAAGCTTAGGGGAAAACAAAAATCTAAGGAAAATCCCCAAAATGGTTGTTTTGAAGATTGTAAGAACAGAGTAGCTATTTCAGGAAAAAGATTCATTCAGGGCATTATAAAAACATGTAGAACTTTCAAAAAGCAAACAATTGAAAGCCTTGGAATTTGGAGTTAAGTTTCCAGAGACAACTTGGATTCTGACTATCCTACTCTGTGCCTCTGATCTGTCCTTACAGTGACACAGCACCTCATTCTACATTGCTACTATCCATTAAACCCCATCCTCAGATGAACATAATAATGTACAAATTACATTCTCACTATGCTGGAGCTACAGGTCTCCCTCCACAGTGCAGCAACTGAAGAGCAATGGGACACAGGGAAGCTCTGACCATATCCCCTTTGCTGGCAACAGGTAAGAAAGATGGCTGAGGAGCCATTATACTGTCTCTCTGCCACTGCAGGGTCCCTCTATGATGGGATGTGTTTTATGGCAATCTGCCAGTGGTAGGGCACAAAGCCACTGCATTACAACAGGATCTAGACCAGTTTATTAAGATATGTACAAGCTGTCTGAAAAACGATACATGAAGGATAGTGTAACATACCAATGGTTCCCAACCACTTCTCTGCTGCGGCACACCTTCAGAATTTTAATTATTTTGAGGCACACCATCATATTGTCTCCAAATGAACTGGCCTCCTTATCACCTCGGTTTAAGCTGTTTACCACCCTTGCCATTCACAGTCTGTAGGGGCTGTGTGCTGGGAGGGGTGTAGCTCAGGTGCAGGAAGGGGCTGTGTCTGAGGGCGTGCTGCTGCTACAGGTCCTAGCCATGTGATCAGTCCTTAGTTGGCACAGTGGAGGCTGCTCCATTCCTTGTGGCCATGTGCACACTGAACTAGGCAGGGCCATGCCGTACTACAGTCCCCATGGCCATGGGCACCCAGTGGTTTGCAGCACAGAGGACTATATTTTTGAGCTTATGGTTGTTACCCAGCCCAGCTGGAGAAACTGATCTGGATACACAGAGCAGCTGGTGTAGCCGCTCCTCTCCCCACCCTCAAATGTTCCTCTGTGCCCCCGTAGGGGGCTCCGGTCATCCCACGCCCTCTAGAGGAGCCTGGGGCTTAGAGTGAGAGCAAGGCCAAATGGAAGTAAGAAATCTGTCCCCACCCCCATGCATGCGTTGCCTCCGCAACTTATCCATTTTGGGGGTTAACGCCCCCATCTCTGCCCATGCAGGGGGGCAGGTGCCCCCCCATCCTCCCTAAATGGTGCCCCAGCCCCCATCAGTTCTGTCCTCACCCTCCACCAGTCCAGCCCCCACCTCACCCCAATTCTGCCCCACCCCCCCTCACCCCAAGTTCAGCCCCCTTCCTCTCCTGAGCTTCTTCCCCCTCCCAATCCTGAGGGGGAGGGCTGCAGGAGGGATGGGGAGAGTGGAGCTGATCAGTTGCTCACAAGAGGGGAGTGGGGAGGAGAGGGAGATTGAGCTCTAATTGGTTGCTCTACCCCTGGAGGAGGTGGGGCAATGAGGCAGGCAGCCAATCAGAAGGCAGATTTCCCCACTTTCTTTCCCCGTCCCATCCCCACTCCACATACAGTTTTTTTTAAAATTCTGCAGCACAACCGTTCAGGCCTAATGGCACACCAGTTGGGAAACACTGATTTAGTCTGACCTGCACACTGCAGAGCACAGAACCTCACCTACCCACTCCTGTAATAACCCCTAACCCCTAATTGCAGTTCTCAAATCATTGCTTAAAGTAGGGCTGCCAAACAATTAAAAAATTAATTGTGATTAATGGTGAGATTAAAAAAAATAGTCATGATTTATTGCAGTTTTAATTACACTGTTAATAATAGAATACCATTTAAATATTTTTAGATGTTTTCCATATTTTCAAATATATTGACTTCAGTTACAACACAGAATACAAAGTGTACAGTGCTCAATTTGTTATTTTTTATTACAGATATTTGCACTGTAAAAATAATAAACAAAATAAATATTTTTCAATTCACCTCATACAAGTACCGTAGTGCAATCTCTTTATCATGAAAGTGTAACGTAGATTTTTTTTTACGTAACTGCAATAAAAAATTATAAATGTAAAACTTTAGCACTTACAAGTCTACTCAGTCCTACTTCTTGTTCAGCCAATTGCTAAGACAAATAAGTTTGTTTACTCTTACAGGAGATAATGCTGCCCGCTTCTTACTTACAATGGAACCTGAAAGTGAGATCAGGCATTCACATGGCACTGTTGTAGCTAGCACTGCAAGGATTTATGTGCCAGATATACTAAACATTTGTATGCTGTTTCATGCTTTGACCACCATTCCAGAGGACATGCTTCCGTGCTGATGACTGGTTCTGTTTGATAACGATCCACAGCAGTGTGGACTGATGCACATTCATTTTCATCATCTGAGTCAGATGCCACCAACAGAAGCTTGATTTTCTTTTTTGGTGGTTCAGGTTCTGTAGTTTCCGCATCAGAGTGTGGCTCTTTTCAGACTTCTGACAGCTTGTTCCACACCTTGTCCCTCTCAGATTTTGAAAGGCACTTCAGATTCTTAAACCTTGGGTCAAGTGCTGTAGCTATCTTTAGAAATCTCATATTGGTACCTTTACATTTTGTCAAATCTGCAGCGAAAGTGTTCTTAAATAGAATAACATATGCTGGGTCATCATCTGAGACTGCCATAACACAAAATACATGGCAGAATCCGGGTAAAACCATGGAGCAGGAGACATACAATTCTCCCCCACAGTGTTCAGTCACAAATTTAATTAAACCCTTTTTTTTTTTTTTTTTTTTTAAAAACAAGGATCATCAGCATGGAAGCATGTCCTCTGGAATAGTGGTAGGGGCATACGAACGTTTAGCATATCTGGCACATAAATACTTCGTAACGTGGGCTACAATAGTGCCATGCGAGCACCTGTTCTCACTTTCAGGTGATACTGTTAATAAGAAGCGGACAGCAATATCTCCCGTAGATGTAAACAAACTTGTCTGTTTTAGCTATTGGCTGAACAAGATGTAGGACTGAGTGGACTTGTAGGTTCTCAAGTTTTATATTGTTTTGTTTTTGAGTGCAGTCATGTAAAAAAAATTAATTCTACATTTGTAAGTTGCATTTCCATGCTAAAGAGATTGCACTACCATACTTGTATGAGGTAAACTGAAAATACTATTTGTTTTGTTTACAAATATTTGCACTGTAAAAAGATAATCAAAATAATGCTATAAAGTGAGCATTGTACACTTTGTATTATGTGTTGTAATAGAAATTAATATATTTGAAAATTTAAATTGGTATTATATTATTGTTTAATAGTGCAATTAAATAGCGATTAATCGCAAATAATTTTTTAATCTAGTTAATCAGTTTTGCAGTAATTACTTGGGTTAACTGCAATTAATTGATAGCCCCACTTTAAAGACTTCAAGTTACAGAGAATCCACCATTTGCACTTGTTTAAACTTGCAAGTGACCCATGTCCCATGCTGCAGAGGAAGGCAAAAAACCCCCAGGGTCTCTACCAATCTGACATGGGGGGAAATTCCTTCCCGATCCCAAATATGATGATCAGTTAGACCCTGAACATGTGGGCAAGGCTCACCAGCCAGACACCTGGGAAATAATTCTCTGTAGTAACTCAGAGCCCTCCCCATCTAGTATCCCATCACTGGCCATTGGAGATATTTGCTGCTAGCAATCACAGATCAGCTACATGCCATTGTAGGCAGTCTCACCATACCATCCCCTCCATAAACTTATCAAGCTCAGTCTTGAAGCCAGAAGGTTTTTTGCTTTCCATTGTTCCCCTTGGACGTCTGTTCCCAGAACTTCACTCATCTGATGGTTAGAAACCTTCTCCTAATTTCAAGTCTAAACTTGTTGGCCAGTTTATATCCATTTGTTCTTGTGTCTACATTGGCGCTTAACTTAAATAACTCCTCTCCCTCCCTAGTATTTATCCCTTTGATGCATTTAGAGAGAGCAATCATATCTCCCCTCAGCCTTCTTTTGGTTAGTCTAAACAAGTTTCCTCTCATAAGATAGGCTTTCTATTCCTCGCATCATCCTAGTAGCTCTTCTCTGCACCTGTTTAAGTTTGAATTCATCTTTCTTAAACAGGGGAGACCAGAATTGCACACTATTCCAGATGAGGTCTCACCAGTGCCTTGTATAATGATACTAACACTTCCCTGTCTCTACTGGAAAAACCTCTCCTTGGACTGCATTAACCTTTTTTTCACATCACACTGGCAGCTTAGTCATCTTGTGATGAACCAATATACCCTCCACTGTCACTTCCAACTGATATGTCCCCAGCTTATAGCAACATTTTTTGTTAGTTCTTAAATGTGTGACTTTTCATTCTGCAATATTAAATTTCATCCTTTTTCTATTATTCAACATCATTGAGATCTTCTGTTATGATATTCAAGTCCTCCTCCATATTGGCAATACTTCCCAACTTTGTGTCAAATTTTATTAGCACACACTCACTTTTTATGCCAATGTCAGTAAAAACATTAAATAAGATTGGTCCCAAGAGCAATCCCTGAGGAACTCCATAGTAACCTCCCTCCAGCCTGACAGTTCACCTTTCAGTATGATCTGTTGTAGTCTTCCCTTGAGCCAGTTCCTTATCCACCTTTCAATTCTCATACTAATCCCCATCCTCTCCAATTTCACTAATAATTTCTCATGTGTATCAAATGTCTTACTGAAATCCAGGTAGATGAGCTCTACTGCATTGCCTTTGTCTATAAAAAAAAATCAGTTATCTTCTCAAAGGAGGAGATCAGGTTGTCTGGCACGATCAACCTTTTGTAAAACCATGTTGTATTTTATCCCAATTACTGTTAACCTCTATGCCCTTAACTACTTTCTCTTTCAAAATTTATTCCAAGACCTTGCATACAACTGAGGTCAAACTAACAAGTCTGTAGTTTCCCAGATCACTTTTTCTCCCTTTCTTAAAAAAATAGGAACGATATTAGCAATTGTCCAGTCATAGAGTACAATGTCTGAGTTTACAGATTCATTAAAAATCCTTGCTATTGGGCTTGCAATTTCATGTGCCAGTTCCTTTAATATTTTTGGATGGAAATTATCTGGACCCCCCAATTTAGTCATGTTAAACTGTTTGAGTTTGACTTTGACTTCCACCTTGGATGTGGTAATTTCTACCTCAATATTCTCATTCCCATTAACCACCCTGCAACTACCCCTAAGTTCTTCATTTACTTCAGTTTTTAATGAGGCTAAGTATTTGTTTAGATGTTGGGACATGCCTAGTTTATCTTTAATCTCCACCCCATCCTCAGTGTTTAGTAATTCCACTTCTTTCCTTGTTTTCTTCTTATTTATATGGCTATAGAACTTTTTACTAATTATTTTAATTCCGTTTGCAAGGTCCAACTCTGCTTGGCTTTTGGCTGTTCTCACTTTAATCCTACACTTTCTGACCTCCAAGAGGTAGCTTTCTTTGCTGATTCATCCCATCTTCCATTCCTTGTAGGCTTTCTGCTTTCTCTTAATCACTTGTTTGAGATGCTTGTTCATCCAGCTTGGTCTGCAACCCTTCCCTATGAATTTTTTCCCCTTGCTTGGGATGCAAACTTCAGATACTTTAAGTCAAAGTTGAAGAAACTAATTCCAAACTTCCTTCACATTGAGATCCTTGAGTTCTTCAGTCCAGTCCACTCCCTAATTCCCTTAATTTTTTAAAGTTAGCCCTATTGAAATCAGGGGCCCTAATTGCAGATCTATTTTTGTTTATCCTTCCATTTAGTTTGAACTGAATTAGCTCATGATCACTCAAACCAAGGTTGTCCTCTACAACCAGTTCTTCTATGACGTCCTCACTGCTCACCAATACCAAATCAAAAATGGCATCCCCTCTTGTTGGTTCAGCAACTATTTGGTGAAGAAATCTGTTGGCTAGCACATCCAGGAAAATCTGGACCCTACTATGATAATATCTGGGAAGTTAAAGTCTCTCATAATCACACAATTCACACTAGTATTTATTTAATTAAAAACATTAAGGAGATCTCTATCCATATCTTCTGACTGAACAAGAGACTTCAATTGCTTCTTTAAAACACACTTCCTTGAGAGACCACAATTAGATGCCTAAATTGCCACTACCAGACACACTAGGGTATCATTTATTATTTATGTCTGATCTGTTTTGTCTGTGTCTAAACCAGACTGTAAACTTGTTGAAACTGGAATTAGTCTCCTGATTTATTTGTACACTGCTGGCACTAAGTTGTTACCAAACCAAATAAGGATTAATAATAGTCTACATTTAAGGCCAAAATTCTGCACACAAACCTCCAGCCTCTCATTCTGGAAACATGACCCAGAGTTACATGTGACACTTTCACGTTGCATACCTTTTTTCAGTGGCTCAGGCTTTTTGTCAGCTTTCTCTCTCCATGGCATGGTGATAGATGGGAAAAATGACTTCTTTTCTCTGGTTTCTTCCTCTTCATTTTTGTTCTCATTCTGTGCTGGCGAGTGCACCACGTTCACTTTACTGTCTTCTTTTTTCCAGGTGGTGTCTAACTCAGGTTTAGCCGCCCTTTGACCTAACATGTCAGCTAAGTTTGATCTCTTCATTTTAGAAAGAGGAGAGGATGGCGGGGTCTGGTTTGTGGGCTTTGGAGCTAATGCAGGTTTCTGTTGGAGTGATGATTTACACACAGGTTTCTCATGACTAGGTAACGGAATCTGGCTGTTGGTCGATGGGAATAACAGTGTAACTGTTGTGTCTGAGTTCTCCGAAACATTATTTGAAGAGTCTTTTAAAACATTAACAGTGGCATCCCTTCTCTCTAGGCTAGGGGATATACTGTCTTTTAGAGCGGTATTAATGGTTTCTTTTCCACTTTCTGTTGTAACTAGTGGGGCAGGTACACCATCAAAACTATCTCCTGCACTGTATCTTTTCTTTTTCTTTTGCTCCTCCTGTTGATCGTAGTGGAAACGCAAGGAGTAATTTGTCCTTCTTAACTTTATCCCAAATGGAGAAACATTTTCTTCTTCACGTGGTGCTGTTTTATCCAGTTTTCTTGTACCAGTGTTCTGCTGACTTTCCAAAGTAGCTGGAGATTCTGATTGGGGCAGTTCTTTTCCTGGAGAATGAGAGAGGCTTGGAACAAGGAAAGATGGAAGATCTTTGGCAAACTTATAGCCTTCTGTGTTGTTTGCCATTTCAAGGTGTGTTTCCCTCTTTGTAGCCATTTCAGTTGCATTATCTTTACAAGCTGGAGTCTCATTGTGAGCAGCCACATCATCATTTGCATCATTGGATGAATCTGTCTTTTTTCTTGTGTTCTCTGGTTCAGTACCTTCTGCACCACTTGCACTCTCAGCATCTGCACTGGCTTTTGAGGTTTCTGAAAATTTCTGCCATGCTGGTGTTATGGAAAATTTTGCGTTTGCAGAAAGGGTTTTCCTTAAATTGCCATGGGAAGCACCATGTCCTTTGGGTGTCCAGTCATCACTGTATCTACAGACACTTACTCGGTCTTTTTCATTTAGCTTGTTGTTTTCTGCACTCTTTAGCATTCTAGATCTAATAGAAGCCCATTCAGCTAATATGTCCTGGTTGTTCAATGTCTCCTGTGTATACTTCATTTTACTGCAGCTAGATTTGGGATCAAGAGTAGTTTTCTGGGTGTTTTCTGGTGGGGGAATATCCAGGTTTTTTCTTTCTTCTGTCAAACCAAGTAAAGATTTACAAGCTGTATCTTTGATCTGATTCAGGTTTACGGCAGTGCCACAAAGCTGTGCTCCAGTAACCAAAATAGCTGTGTGTGGGACACTCAAAGAGTAGGGAAGTGCAGTAGAACCTTTGCTAAATTTGTGGGTCTTGGATTCTTTGAGGGCAGAATGGTGTGCTGCCTCTTTGACAGGAGTAACAGGGCTCAAATTCACTTTCTGAAATATGATCTGTTTCTCTCCCGATGACACTTGAAATGTGAATGGTCTGTGCATAGCCTGCCTTTCATCTACTTCCTGCCATCTTAGTTCTTCACCTATCTTCTGCTCCTGAGCTTCAACTTCTCTCTTCTGCTTTGGTGTTAGCTTTTCTTGCACTGTTTCTTTCCCTTTCTGTGATTGTTTTGTTTTTTGTTGGTTTGATTCTTCTTGAAGCTGCTTCTCCATGGATTCCCTACCAGCATCCACAGAACTCACTTCTTCTTTGACCTGTTGCTGTCTTATGGCTTGCTCTTGTTCTTTTTGCTTTTCCAGATGCTGTTGTCCATCCACATGTATTTCTGTCTGTTCTTTCAGTTCTTGTTCATTTAATTCCTCTTGCCTTATTTTAAATTTCCCCTGTTGTTCTCTCTCTTCACTCTCCAGGTGCGTTTGTTCTGCTGGTTCATGTCTTCTTTGTTCTTCTTGTCTCTTTTGCTTCTCCAGTTTTAGTAGAGTTTGTTCTTCTTGTCTCTTTTGCTTCTCCAGTTTTAGTAGAGTTTGTTCTTCTCGTCTCTTCTTTTTTTCCTTCTGATGCTGGCTTTGTTCTTCCAGTCTCTTAGCTTCTTCCTCCTGCTGCAGCTTCTGTTCAGCCTGAAGATGCCTTTTCTCAAATTCTTGTCTCTGTTCTTCCAATTCGTGTCTTTTTTGTTCCTCCTGATGCTGTTTTTCAATCTCATGACACCTTTGTTCTTCCAGTTCTTTTATTTTCTGCTCCTCCAGTTCCACTCGTCTCCGTTCTTCCAGTCTCTTCTGCTCTTCCAGTTCCAGTCGTCTCATTTCTTCCAGTCTCTTCTGCTCCTCCAGTTCCTGTCGTCTCATTTCTTCCAGTCTCTTCTGCTCCTCCAGTTCCTGTCGTCTCATTTCTTCCAGTCTCTTCTGCTCCTCCAGTTCCTGTCGTCTCATTTCTTCCAGTCTTTTCTGCTCCTCCAGTTCCTGTCGTCTCATTTCTTCCAGTCTTTTCTGCTCCTCCAGTTCCTGTCGTCTCCGTTCTTCTTGTTGTCTTTTCTTCTCCTCCTGGTGCCTCTGCTCTTTTCTTTTCAAATGTTTCTCCTCCTCAAGGAGATGCTGCCTTTTCTCTTCCTCACAACGCCTTCTCTCCTGTTCACTTTGCATCTCTTCAACTTCCTGGCATCTTTGTTCTTCCAGATGTTTTTTTCCTCTGCTTCTGCCATTTGTCTTTTCTCTTTTGCCTCAAGCATTCTCCAGTGATTTTCTTGCTTTCTTTTCTCATCTGCAAACTCAAGCTGCTTTTGCCCCGCTTTGTTCTGGGTTGGCTTAGCTGTGCCAATTAGTCCATTGTCATCTGGGTATGTCTCTCTGTACTGGTGGGTTTCTGGGTTTTCTTGCTCAAACTCTGTAGCTGTTATGCTTTGTGAATCCTAATGTTAGGAAACAAAATCAGATTTACTTAATATTGGTTATCGTTCCCTTTCTTCACTGTACAGAATGGTAAACTGATCAGTTGCAAACTAACTAGTCTATTTTTTAACAATTGGCTTGAGATATAGATCATTTTACTTTTGTCCTTTGTTAGAAAGTCATATTTTTACTATATTTGAGTACAGAGTCTACACACATTAACTCATGAGTTACAGTATCACAACCCATGACATATTGGAGTAACTGAACAACATGTTGGTTTATCTGTTTCACCATTTTACAGGAGTGATATTCTGTAAAAGAAAGGATACATCCTGGCACCAACAACATGATAATACTAAATAATAAATCACGGTTTACACTAATGCATGTAAATCAATGGTGCCCAAATTCTGACTAACCAAGCAGCACCTTCAGGGAAGTCTAAGGGCCACAGATGATTTGTGTAAAATGGAGTAGGCAGCAGCCACCCTCACCATAAAACTGGGTCTGAAGCGCAGAGCATACTGATACACACCACCAAAGCCAAAAGCTAAGGAGGCCACTGGGCTCATTGAGGAGCATTGTATGCTGGGATCTGTAGTCACCACAGGCCACATGAGGGTGACCACAATCACACAGGGCTTCACGCGGCCCACAGGCCTCACTTTGGCCACCCATGATGTGAACATATTTTAGAATGTAACATTCACGTTTCCAGCACTGTCCCACATTTAACCACTTTGTAAGCTCCAGAGTTTGTTCTGTTAAGGCTCAGAAACATTAAGCATCTGTTCAAAAGCATTGTCTGTTCTCTCTGCAAGGCTGGCTGTTTCCACACAAAGCACGCAGCCCCATAGAGAGCAGCTGTGCAGTGATGGCAAGAACAGGAGGAACAATGGTAAAGGAAATGCTGCTTGGCTGCTACTCTCTGCCTGCCTCGGCTGAACCCCAATTAGTCGGGGCTCCCCAAGCTGATGGTTCCAATGCAGAAATCTGGGAGCTACCTAAAAATCACGTAAAAAGCAACAGAGGGTCCTGTGGCACCTTTAAAACTAACAGAAGTATTGGGAGCATAAGCTTTCGTGGGTAAGAACCTCACTTCTTCACTTGCATCTGAAGAAGTGAGGTTCTTACCCACTAGGGTTACCATATTTTGTGCCTCCAAAAGGAGGACACTCCACGGGGCCCTGGCCCCGCCCCCAGCCCTGCCCCCTCCCCAAAGTCTCCGCCCCCTCCCCTGCTTCCCGCGAACATTTAATTCGCGGGAAGCCTGGCAGGT